GCAGGGCTGCCGGGCTCCGGCCCGCAAGGGCAAATATGTTTTTCAGATTTGGTTTTTATGATCGGATTAAAGTTTATTTTCCATAATAGGGCACCTAATAAAACCCATAAAGCCGGGTCGGGCCTCCAGCTGGTGGCCTCGTTTAACACTTTCACTTCGTAAATCACTTTACAACGTGCCAGGTGTGTCCCAAACTGGACGCCAACAAGAAACAGCCCCCAGCGCCCCCAACCCGAACACGTCCGCACCGCCCTTTGGAGCCCCAGCGAGTGGGGCTGGGGTCCCAGGTTGGGGTTTCAAAGTCTGGGGTCCCGGGGCGTGTGGACCAGGGCGGGTCTCCAACCTCGCGGGAGGCGAGCCCCCAGCCCCGCCCCCGCTCCCGCGAGGCAGGGGGACCCTCCCGAGAAGGTGGGGTGCCCCGCCCCGGCCCACTCGCGGCCCCGCGCCGACCCTGCATTCCGCGGCCCGCGCACCTGGCCGGCCCCCTTTGCCCCCAAATGTACACAAACAAGGTGTGGGACTCTCTGCGGCTCCTCCGGCCATTGTCCACCAGCGCTAGGCAGGACAAAGGGTGCCCCCACCCCGGCGGCCGCGAGGGGTGGCGGGCGCGGTTTACTCAGCTGGGGGGAGGAACAAAGGCCGCCGCCTTATCTGGGGCGGGAGAGCGCGGGGTCAGGCCCCGGGCGAGGCGGAGGGGAGGGGACGCTGGGCTGGGGCCCCTCCGCCGGCCCACGGATGCGGCGACCTGTCAGCTCCGTGTGGCTCAGGCGCGTCCCCAGCTCGCCATCCCGGACCTCACAATCCGGCGCTTGGAAAGGGGTGCCCGAACCGCCCCTCCAGGACCTCGGGGTGCAGGGAGGGCCGCGGGCAGCGCGGCTCATCCACAGATGCCCAACGATGCCTGTGCTCGGTGGTCGGTTACCCCGTTTCTGTTCTAATATTTGTGATTTCCGTATGTTTTTTAAAAATATTCCCGTTCGTTTTATGATTAATAACCTTTCTACAAGCAGAAAATGCCCTCCTCCGTGCTGTAATAACACCCTAAAGAAAAAGGAAAAGCAAAGAGGAACAAGCTTCCTTCTCAGCGGGAGTGGGGGCGGGAGAGACCCGGCTGCCTCCTGCAAAGCGGGTCCCCCTGCTGTCTGTCCTCCCCGCTGCCCGCACCCAAGCTCTTTCTGACAGGCCAGCGCTGTGACAGGAAACTCGCCGGGTATTTTTTAATGAATACATCTGTAAAGGAAATGCAAA